CCGCCGGTGGCGCTACCATACTGGCCGGCAGTTGCATCACTCCGTGCACATAGAGTGGCCACCCCCTCGTTATACTCGGCAGGAAGGAACGTTTCCTCGGCCGCTTTCTTAACCTTCGCCACCTTTATGCCGCTGCGCGCCTCGCTAAACACCTTCGGGCCGGGTGGGCCTGGCCCACCGCCTGGCCTGGCCCGCCCTCAAGTGCAAGTTTGGCGTGAGCAGGCCTCTGTCCGGGGGGATCTTTTGAGGTTAACAACTGTTGCCCGGATGCCGCTTGGCCCCGCAGCGCTCCCGGCGGGGTCACGCCGGGCTGCAGGGTGCTGCCCCGGCCCCAGGGCCTCGGGTGTAGAAGTCTGGGCGTCTTATGCACCGCGTCTGTCACGCGTTTGCTCAGTTTCAATAACGCAAAAGCTGTATCATTGACTAAACAGTCATGTTTCTATTATACGTGGGTCAGCTGGCTTGTTACCCCATTTTTGAACTTTTATCCGTGCGTGGTTCGTGGATTCGCTCACTTTCGCACCGACCGAATAACAAACACAAGAAGCAACAATCAATGTTTGCCCAACACGTTTTTTTATCCTCATAGGCAAAATCCCCGCAACATCTCCCTGCGATAAGGCCCATGCAAGGCCCCCCCTGCTACCTAGGTACAAGGCCCCTCTGAGGATGGCCCAGGCCGGGCCGGTGGTCCAGCGGCCCAGGAAGTCCCTCGGGCTGGACAATGGTCAGGCGGCCGGCACGGGCCTCGCCACACGCCACGCCGGGCCGCGCCCACAAAAGGGGATTCTTCTTGTTTTGAAGGTGTTTCAATGGAGGCCGCGTAACGTAATTATGGCGATTGTGGGAATTGCAGACGCGTCCAAAGAGAGGATCTGTGTAAACAGGCGAGTGTGAGCTTTGTTACCGTGGACCACCCGCCACCGATTGGGTAGGCCACCAGCTCCACGCATGTGTGTGGCGGGAATGCCCACCGCGAGCTCTGCAGGGGCTGACGGTAGGCCACCAGCACCACGCGTGTGCGTGGCGGGAATGCCCACCGCGAGCTCTGCAGGGGCTTACGGTAGGCCACCAGCACCACGCGTGTGCGTGGCGGGAATGCCCACCGCGAGCTCTGCAGGGGCTGACGGTAGGCCACCAGCTCTACGCGTGTGCGTGACGGGACTGCCCACCGCGAGCTCTGCAGGGGCTGACGGTAGGCCACCAGCTCTACGCGTGTGCGTGACGGGACTGCCCACCGCGAGCTCTGCAGGGGCTGACGGTAGGCCACCAGCTCCACGGGTGTGCGTGACGGGACTGCCCACCGCGAGCTCTGCAGGGGCTGACGGTAGGCCACCAGCTCCACGGGTGTGTGTGACGGGACTGTCCACCGCTAGCTCTGCAGGGACTGGTAGTATAGATCACCAACTCATCAGCTCTACACGTGTGACGGCATAATGCCTATGTACAGGGCGCCCCGGCTACCTTTTTAAGAGGGACTATATCCTTTTGCTTTCCTTTCCCCGATGTAGGTCAGCACTTCCTTGTTCCGCTCATCCTCCTCTAATCAGCAGGCTTCGATAACGAGACGACGCGAGACTAGTCTTTCTTGTATGCTCTCTCTCCCTCGCACGCAGCGGATGCCCGTGCGAGAACTAAGAGAGAAAGAGAGGAGGGGGGCAGGGGCAGGCCTCGGGCCTCTCCACGGCGCGTGGCACCCAAGAACAACAAACAAACGCATTTGCAAACATTTTACTACCCTTTGTTAACTCTACTGCCGCCTACTCATCTGTGGGAATGGAGGGGCGGTTGACGTCTCTACTACGAAGCGCGCGAGTGCTCGTTGGCTCAGCTGGGTCTGACCGTGGCCATGCATGCAACCCGGCGCTGCTTTTCCACATTTTTTGCGGAATTCAGAAGCCTTTCTACGTGTCCTTATTAATTTTTTTCATTAAAAATATATGTATATGTATCCCAATTCACAAACCCAAAATATATGCATTATTTTTATTTTTATTTTTTATTTTTTGTGTGGTAGGGGCTGTGCTGGGTAATCATGGCATACTAGTCCTTTATGTAACAGTGACAATGTTTATTAATAAGAAAGGATATTGCGAGTGATACAAGGACCTGGCACACTGGGCGTTACCTACTGGCTCTACATACATACACATAGTACCTATTGGAGGCACGGTGGACTAGGCTATGTTGTCTCAGTGACCAAGCGTCGTTTAAGATTCAAGAATCATTTCCGTCAAAGGAGTAAAAAAATCCTGAAAAAAAGGAAGAGATCACACAAGATCGCACACAGGAAGGACAAGGTCGGATTCGCGTCGCGTGTTCGTGGCATATCCGCTCCCACGACGGGTTTTAATTCCCTCTCACGAGATTTGGGCCTACCGGGGACTCGGACGTGGTTGAGGTAGGAAGGGGGGGTCCATTGTGTGGCATTCAAATTGCAAACAGTTATGGTTTCCTTTGGCGGTCTCGGCGCGGTTTGTTTTGTCCTCCGCACCTCGCCCCTCCCGCCGCCTCTCTTTCTCTCCCTCTTCTTTTCTGTGGTATGCAAACAGAGAGAGGGAGAGAGAGAGAGAGAGGAAGAAGGACGGGGGAGAGAGAGAAAGACTTTGTCGCGGGATGCCACTTGGCCAACTGGAGCGGCACGGCTCAGGTACCCGATAGGTCCCGGGGAGTAGGGGGCAGGGGGAGGGGCAGAGATCACTAGGGTAGGCCAGGCATGCCGCCCGGAAACCCATAACTCAGCGCAAGGCAATGGGGCTGGAGATGAGCGACTTCTTGTTTGCCAGACAAAGCTTCGATTCAAAAAATATGTAGGACAGCACTGCCCATACGGTGTGCCACCGGGCCCGGAGCATTTCTTATTACGTGTCACGAAATTATTGTTTCACCCTCTCATCGATGCGGAATAGCACTGTGTGAATATTTCCGAAAATGAAACAAGCAAATAGTAGAGCATGGCTGTAATTATAATAAGTGTCTCCCTCACTGCGCTTCCGCTTCTGTTTTCATATTTGTCGTGGTTATAATGGCCACTCCCGGCAGGCAGCTGGTGCACCTGAAGGAGGTGGCGGCAGAAGCGGGGCGCGGCCCTGCAAGTGGGCCAGGAGGGCCGGGGGCCGCGGGGGCCGGCGTCACTTTTGCCCTCGCATTTAAATATCCACCCCGCCCTGTTTGCCTGCTCCCACCTGAGCCCTATTGCTGTGCCATTCCCACTTTTTTTTCGCACGACCTCTCCGAACATTCCGCTCCTCAAATGGGTTCCGTGTGACGCCGCGGGGCGCCCTCCCGCCGGGTCGGGGCGCCGGGGGCAGAGGGACAAAGGGACTTCGTTTCACATCGGTGCAAAAGAGTTCACACTTTGCCTGCGCAGCAGCGATCTTCGGTCCCGATACCCTCAAACAACACGAAATGTCAACAAAGGTCCCAAAACTGTTGTCCGTTGCACCTGGATAACATATGCGTGACCTTTGTATCATGTCACTTGGTACAAGGTTTCTAAAATACTATCGGAGCAAATCATTAATTCTGGGCTGCCTCACCGGCTTGTAGCCTTAGAACAGTGTTTGTAGAAAAATAGGGATCCGTCTTCATCGCCCTTGGCCCTAGAGCTTTTGTTGGTGCGACTATTCGCGGGCCAACTGGCACGTTGGCACGTGGACCTAGCCTAGCCCACCTAGCGCCT